GATAGATAGGCCCGACATTGGGAAAAATGCACTCAATAGATAGTGAAGCTCTGGGACAGACTGTCTAGAGAAGCTGTAGAGTATCTGCTGCTGGAGGTTTTAAATACCATTCAGACAAACATCCATCAGGATATGGGATAGATAAACTAGGTAATCTCTTAAAATACCTTTCAGTTTTATTTTTTTTTTATGATTCTGTGAGTAGGCTTCTCCTACTGAAATATTTCTCTGATTAGAGTGATGCTATGCCTTGTCTGCTGTAAAGCCATTTATCCTTATGTTGTTAGAGACCTCTGATGATAAATAAAAGACAGATGCCTAGTTTGCTATCAGAAGCTGGTTTTTCAGCTAGTTGGCATCTGAAGTTGCAGATTTCCAACAGAGTTCAGTTCTAGAAGTTCCTTTGTTTCAGACATAATGGGACTTTCTAGGTCAAGCATCCTGACATTTTCTACAAATATGCTTAAGTAAAGATCCCCATCATTCTCAGGCATAGGACTGCATTCCTGTAACTCACCTAGTTACAGATCTGAGGCTAATCCTCAATCTCACGTGGCTTCCACCGAGATTTAAACCAAGAAGTTTTATTAGTCGCCTTCAGTGAGACAAGATCACGCAGGAGATCATTAAAGTTCTGAGGAGACCTTATAGCAGCTTTCCAGTACCTAAAGGGGGCCTACAAGAGAGCTGGAGAGGGACTTTATACAAGGATTAAGGATCACTTTTTACAAGTGATTGAACAGTGGGTAATGGCTTTACACTGAAAGAGGGTAGGTTTAGATTAGATATTATGAAGAAATTATCTCTTGTGAGGATGGTAAGACACTGGAACAGATTGACCAGAGAAGTTGTGGATGCCCCATCCGTGGAAGTGTTCAAAAGTAATAGTAATGGGGCCCTGACCAACCTAATCTAATGGGTGGCATTCCTGTCCATGGCAGGGCAGTTGGAACTAGACGATCTTTAAGATCTCTTCTGACTCAAGCCACTCTATGATTCTATGATCAGTTGCTAAGTTTCAGTTATCATATGGGAACTTGTTAAGTCACGGCACTGTGGTTAATTAATTACTTGAAAGATTAACTTACATTGAAGAAAATATTTCAGGAGTCAGGGAGCCTAACACTAGCTGATACTGTTCCTTAGGCTTCCACATTAAGCCACTCTAGAGGCATACTAAGAACCGACAAAGATGCTTGTTCTGACCACCTATAGTTGTGTTTCTACTCTTAAAATGTTTGAATGAAGTTTCTAAATTGATTCTGAAATTGGGACCTAGACTTTAAATTTAGCTGTTTCTGATTTAGTTGTCGTTAAGGTGCTTTTGATGAAGGTGTATTTAGCACTTTTCAAAAGCTTGAAGGACACACTTAGCTACATGTAACAACAAAAACACTGCTGAAGAGGAAAGGATATACATTCCTAGTTACATGCACTTTCAAATCTATTTCTCAGCTCTTTAGCTATATCACAGCTACATAAGACAAACTGTCTTGGAAATTTGATCCTCTATGTACAACTGTCCTGAGGGAATAGCCAGAGCAGGATGCTGAGGACAATTTAACTAAGTCAAAGACAATAGCAAGAGCTGTCGAGAGTCTTAAACCTCTTCAGAGAAAGTGAGGTACCAACACAGTTATTTTCTTATCCACCAACAGTATTTTTAAATTGTATTTTGTATTCTGTATTTCTACTGTATTTCTGTATTCTATTTTTATTCCTGAATAGACTGGTCTGTTGCTGATTATAAACAATTTTGAATGTGAATTAAGATCTCTGATACCAAACACTTACAGAAACACCTTTGTGCCTCACTTGTGCTTTACTTTTATTTCAAATCAGCTGCCTAATTGTAGTGCTTACAGAATTGTAGGGCACTTGGATTTTAATTGTATCAAGTTCAGGCAAAAATGACTATAAAAGCATCAAAGAAAAATAATAGTTTCTAAGTGCAAGTGAAAAGATGCTGAGATTTACATAATGGATTTAGTCAGACACCCCTACTGTTTTATAGAGGGAAAAGTGCATGTGCACAATAAATAAATTACACTGTGCCATCAGTATGTTGCATCTAACTGCATTAGTGGCTCCATTTTCCCCCTCATGACTTAGGTGGGGTAACATATTGGAAAGCATATATTTCTTCATTATACTATTTAGATGGTTTGATAAATCTGCTTATAGATGACAGAAAGAGTTTTTTATTGCTCCTACTAAGTTATTTATATTTAAACCAAATTCTTCATGTGTCTACATGCAAGATATAAAAATATTGAAAGAAATATTATTATTGTCATAATAAGACCCATCTGTGACTCAGGTAGAACAAGACCAATATCTTGTTTTTTCACCTACTCTGCCTTCAGGTTGCCTTGCCATGTGCACTTTTCATAGTGTCCACCTTCTAAATCTACTCAGTTCAGGAAAGAGCTGTGCAAACCATCTCCATCCACCTCCACACTGCCCTCCATGAGGGTGTTCTGATCTATCTTTCAAGAATTCATTGCTGAAATTATTTTCTTCAAATGCTGTTCACATTTGGTGAATCTCATTTTAATGTGTCAAAGTACTGGTCAGAAATAGTTCAATTATTAAATCCATTTTTATGGAGACTGAACCTTGTTTAAAACGGAAGTTTATAGAACTAGAATGTTTTTGATGAAGTTAAGTAATATATTTAGCTTTCAGATTTTTTTATCCTCTTCCTCCATACTTTCCCCTGTGTTTTTCTGTGCTTTTTTTCATTTGAAAAAGGATAAGAAGAATGGTTTAAATATGGTCAAAAATGGGGAAAACCAAAAAATGGAACAATAATGAAAATTTTCAGATAATTTCCATGTATTTTCTTAATTTTTTTAAATATTAAGAATCTCTAGAAACAGCCTTTTCTGTCAAAATTGTTAATTATTTTTAGCCAGCTTTCTTCTTTTCTCTGTTCAGGGCATGTACACTGGAATAAATGAGAAAATCTAATATATGTGTCATGTTTCCATTTGCAAAAGAAAAATAAAGCAAATTAAGGCTTTTGTTACTAGAGGTCATAGACAGGATATATTATGGACTTGACTTTGCAAGACACTGAATGCCTGCGGCTCGCTTTGCACCAGGTGAATTTAAGGGAGTTGTCACATGACCTACTCTTTCATTAGCTTAGTTGCAATGGAAAAGGCAGAGCAGTTGCATCAGAAGTGGAAAACGATGGCAGGAAAAGTCTGGCAGTTTGTTCCACAGGGGTGATGGAAACAGCTATTCTCAAAGGATCTCTGCTGAGGAACATAGAAGTAATGTAGAGGAAGATAGCAAGAGCAAAAAAAATTAAGATTTCAGAATAATAGAAAATAAAAATAATAAAGCGCAAACTATTTCTAGAGCAATAACTGCTCTAAAAAAAAGGTATCAAGCCAGATGAATCATATCTATATAAGGGCACTAATTTAAAGGCATTTTATCAGACAAAGAGAAATAAGCATTTCTAGAGAATGATTCAGTCTTTAGGTAGACAGCATATCTTTCTCTCGAGAGACTTCTCAAACCACATTGTGAAATTCAGATGGAATAGAGCTGGGACATGATGACTGGGCACCATTAGACTGGTCTTTCCTACAGTTTCTGCCTTAAGCTAGGCCACTGGAAGTCTGGTCCCAGCTCCAGAAGGGCTGGGGTTTCTCTTTGTCATTCCAGCCACCCACACTACAGACATTTTGAGATCAGGCACCTATGAAGAAATACGTAAAACCTGACCCTTAACTGGCACAAAGACAGGATCCAATGAGGAGCTGCAAAACCCTAGAAAACCCAGTAAACCCCCAAAACCTCTCTTTTGCCCTCAGAAAAAGGACAATTTTGCCGCCTAAGTACTGCTCACTGCATAGACTTGTGCTCAGAAGTTGCTCATTGCAGAAGGTTCCCTCCTGCTGTCAAGGTCATCTGTTTCCTCTGGTGATGGCCTGCAGAAAATGGAGGGTATGGTTTAACTGTTTCTACAAGTACCGTTATTTGTCTGAGAACCCACACTATACTTCATGCTGGTGTATTCCCCATACATACTCCCTATATGGATCAGTTATCTCAGTGCCTTTTAAACAATTCAGGCTGTGTGCTCTGGCTATGTCATCTTGGGAAAGGAGCAGTACCAAAGAGCTGTGCTTCTCACAGGAAGGAGGAGGAGGTACATGTTACAAGGCTTTCCCATGTTTGCCATATCTTTTGTGTAAGCTTGATTTTCACAAGTGTATTTGCATTGGGAAGGTCCAGTTCCACAAAGGTCAAATGCTCTTCAGTGGAAACTTTTCCTGAAAGCAGACTGCAGCATCAAACTTTCCTGCATGAAAGAAGACATCTTTCCTCACTGGCATATTCAATACACAGAAGCAAAATATTTTTGCCCTTTGCAATATAATGCAACTTAAGACATGCTGCCTCCCACATAAGGCCACAAAAAAGGGCTTCTTTTTTTTTTATTCCCAGGTTTTTAACGTTTCATGTTAGGAAATTCAGCCAAAAAAGGGGATTGCTCTGAAAGCCACCGCTTGACGAACACCACCTCGCTACTGTCACGACAACGAGACCTATACTGACGCCTGGTCTGACTCCCACGGGATGCTCTGGGGGGCTCACGCGTGGCCCCACTGACCCCACAGCCTCCCGGCCACCGCCCTGCGCCAGGCACCCACCATCTTCCTCCGCGCACCCCCGGAGCCGGCAGCGCAGGGACCTCTCCTCGGCCGCGGAGCCCCCCCCCCACCCCTGGGGCGCTGCGCTGCGCGGGGCCGAGCGAGGCGCAGCCGCCCCCTCCCTTTCCCTTCCCGGCTCCTCTGCGGCGCAGGGCCGGGGCGCGGCCGCGGGGCAGGTGTCGGGGCGCGCCGCGGCGGGTGCGCGCCTGTGCGTGAGCGGGTGCGCGCGTGTGTGTGCGCGCACAAGGCGGGGCCGCGCAGCAGGCAGCCCTGTGCCGGCTGGTGCCGTCTGGGAGCCGGGGCGTGGAGCGGAGGAGGGCGCGGAAGGGAGGGTGGTGGGGGGGACGAGCATCCTCCAGGCCGAGGCTCCGTTTGTTTCTCCGGGCTCCGCGCCGGCGAGCGGGAGGCGCTTCGGCACCGGTACCGGCGAAGTACCTGCGGATCGGCTTTCCTCCTCCTCGCTGGCTTTTTCCAGTTTTGTGGTGGTGGTAGTTTTTTTTTTTTGTGTGTGTGTGTGTGTGTGTTTTTTTTTCTTAGCCCTCCCTCAAATCCAGGGAGACGCTTCTGAAGCGGGGTGAGCGCCGACCTTACGTAAATGGTGCTGCTCCGGGGAGGGCATCCCCCCTGCGAGCCCCGGGCCGGGGGAGCGTCCCCGGGCGCCGCTCGCCCTGCCTAGCGGCCGGGCTCCTCGCCGCCGTCGCCGCAGCCCCGCCTGCGATCCGCACCGGCACCGGCGGGGGCGGGCGGTGAGCAGCAGCCGGCAGCCCGCAGCCCCGTCCTCGGCGGGTTTCGCCGCCTCCGCGGACCGGCTGCGGGGATGATGCGGCGCGTCGGACCCCGCGGCGGGGAGGGCGCTATGTCAGAGAGATAACGCGCCTCCGCCAGCAGCCCGGGGGCAGTGTCGGTGCCAGGTCCCCCCGGGACCCGGCTGCCTGAGAGCCGCTCGCAGCTCAGCGGCCGGACTGGCAGCGGCGGCGGGGCCGGGGAGCGACGGGGCGAGGCCCGGCGGGGCGGGCGAGCGGCGGCCGGCCGTGCCGGGGCACCCCGCCTCCGGGGGGCAAGCGCCCGGGAGGCTGAGGAGCGCAGGCATCACAGCCAGGGAGGAGGAGGAGGAGGGCAGCGCCATGACTCATTTGCAGGCAGGTCTCTCCCCGGAGACTCTGGAGAAAGCCCGGCTGGAGCTGAACGAGAACCCCGACACCCTGCACCAGGACATCCAGGAGGTGCGGGACATGGTCATCACCCGGCCGGACATCGGCTTCCTGCGCACCGACGATGCCTTCATCCTGCGGTTCCTGCGGGCCAGGAAGTTTCAGCACTTCGAGGCATTTCGGCTCCTGGCCCAGTACTTTGAATATCGCCAGCAGAACCTGGACATGTTCAAGAGCTTCAAGGCCACAGACCCGGGCATCAAGCAGGCACTGAAGGATGGTTTCCCCGGTGGGCTGGCCAACCTGGACCACTACGGCAGGAAGATCCTCGTCCTTTTTGCAGCCAACTGGGACCAGAGCAGGTAAAAGCAGAGCCACCCGCCTGCCATCTTCCGCCGGGAAATGCATGGGAAAGCCGTGCCAGAGCACAGGGAGAGAGAGTGGGCAGCAGGGATACACCCGGCGCTGCCCACATTAGGGTGGGGAGCAGCCTGGAAGGCAGAGAGAGAGGAGAAAGGAGAAATGTGTTTTGTGGCTTAGGGCCTTTTCAACCAGGTCATCCTTTGGGGTGTAAATTTTGGGAGGGAAGTAGAAACTGCTTGGATGCTCTTCTCAGCTGTTTGATAGGAGATTTACATCCTTCTGCCTCCCCTTAGCTGAAGTGAGCTGGCACGGTAGATGGTGTGCTTATCCTCCAGACAAAGGCTAGTTGCACTCTCTGGGTTGGTCTTTCTGTTTCATCACTCACAGAGTTGCTCAGGAGCCATAGGAGAAAGTGGGTGATGCTGGTTGTGTGTAAAACAGGAGCATCCATCATGAGCTGAAAAGTTTGCCTGTGCAGGAAGCTGAGGCTCCAAATCCTTACCCTCAGCTAAAGAAAGCTCTTCCTGAGCCTCCTGGAAATGCCAGGATGGAAGTTGCTGTAACTACTTCATTTCCCACTCATGCTGCTCCAAGTGTCAATTCCCTGCATAATAAGATCCAAGCCCACAAAGCTTTGGTAGCAAATTCAAAGCGACTAGTGGAGTCCCTAGAACACTTTCTGATCCTTTTTGGGACTACTGTAGCCTGAAGATGACTTAGTAGGCTGACCCAAGAGCTGATTCCCATCAAGGCCCTTTTAAGCTGTCAGCTTGATACTATGTGACACTATTTGTTTATTCTAAATTCCTAATTGGGTGTCATGCTCAGTTTCTCCTGCGGTCTAAAATTATATTCACAAAACCTTCTTGATTTCAGTACATGTAAATGAAGGAATCCACTAAGAATGAGCTCTCTAAAACCTGCTCCTGTGAGCACTGCATTGTTTCCCTCAGCTCCCAACCCGAGGGCAACTTTAGAATCTGAAGCGTTTCTTCGTGGAAAAAATTAAAATCTTGCTAGTTGCCATCTTTTGTATGGTCAACACAGTGATGGTATCCTAAGCTCAGCTACTTTGAAACGTGGGGAGGACACAAGCAGCTAGAAGAGTGGATAGAAAGAACAAAATTTGGGGGATAGGCATGCCTAAGCTTGTCCTTTAGGTGTTTGTTTAGCTGTCCTCTTGCAGGCTGCATGGAGAGCCATTGCAGGGAGCATTCCCACAGCTCTCTGCGCCAGTTGGTGTTACAGTTAGGGACGGGTCTCTGCCCAGAGGGCTGCTGGCTCACCTTGCCTTTCCTGCTCTCCAAATGTGGCATTCACATCCACACTGCGTATGGGGGGTTTCCTGGCCCTTGCTCCCATGAATCAAGTCGAGGGACTAGGAGAAAGCTGTTTGGCACAAATCAAAACTGCCCACAGCTAGGCTAACAACTAGAAAAGGTGGATGAACATATGCAGAGCTGAGGCCTGCATCTTTTTTCTACTTTGGTTTTCTAGCAGATGGAGCAAAAAAGCTGAGTGAGGAGCAGTGGTGATGAGGCTAAGGACTTGCTGAGCAGTCTCCGTTTCCCGCATAAGGATCAGGTCAACTCTTAATATTAAAAGCAACTCCACAAACTCTTAAAAATCCTTGAAGGAAGAATTAGTAAAGAAACGGATTGGTTAGGACTTTTATGAAGTTATATGTCTGTGATGAAGAAGTTCCCTTCTTAAAGGTAGTGTTGTTTCTTGTTAATGAAAAAAAATCCTAAAGCTTTATGTGGCACCTGTCATATCGTCACTTGACTTGATCCTAGTCAAAAGAACACCAAGAATTCAAGTGCAGAGATTAAGTAGCATTTGAAATAATAATTGTCATTTGAAAAGATATTTAAAGTACATGAGATCAGCTGATATTTAAAGTACTTGAGATCAGCTGACAGAGCAATAAATTTATTGTGATTTTTTCATGAAGTCTTAGTGGTACAATTAATATTCTTTATGCTATGACAGTGAAGTGGCTGGGGCACACCAGAGTATGTAATGGCCATGTTTGCAACTGGGTGCCTATTGCTTTTCAGCACTGCTTGCCCATGGCATGCCTCTCCTCCAGAATAAGGGATTTGTTTTCAGATAGACCACTCAGACAAAGCAGGGAGAGCTGAAGCCCAGCTGCGGGGAGTGGCTTGCTTCAAGGCACATGACAAGTCAGTGACACATCTGGGAATGGAGCTAGGTCATTTTCTTTTCTAATTAATTTAGTGTCTTCCATTATGTGATGTTCAGTGGCTGAACTGGGGGAGCACTGTGTATGGAACTTATACTGGGGCTGATATGCAGTATGTCTCATGCTTATGCCTTAACTGACTTGAGATCTTACAGTACATAACCCAGTGTTCTTCTTACAGGAACAATGGGAGGATTACTTATTGAATAGATCACAGCACGTTTATCATGTGTGCAGCTTATTATGGTCAGGATGTGACAATTAGAAATAAAAAGTTCCAATTTGTTATTTAAATGAATAGCAGACGTACTATAGATGATTTATATAGCACTGGCAGCCTATGGTTTATATAGTTCCAATTAGAAAGAAAAGCTTGGGAGGCAAAAAATTCCTGTGGTAAAACAAGCCTGTGTACTAGATGTTAAATCATTAAATTAAAGCAGGGCCTGAAAACTGTACCAGATGTCCTACCACCTGAACAACCAAATCTGACATGTATTTAAAACAAAAAAAAAAACCAAAAAAAGGAAGGTAAAAGATAATGAACTGAGTAGCCCAGTAGCTTTGCAGCAGGACCCAGCCTAACTCTACACCCTGTCTGTACTATGGGGAAAATGAAGATGGGTGGCATTCCTGCCAGGAAGCTAGCTAGCACTCTCGGAGGGATCAGCTTTCCCTGTTAGCTTCCAGGTTGTTGATTCATAACTACATTTGGCTTGTAGGTGTCTACATGCGTTTGAAGACTCCCCTTTTCTTAATGCATCCAGCTGGTGAAGTTTTTTTGAGTTAATGCTGTAATTAACTTCAACCCTCAGCTACAAGGGATCCGTTTTCATGCATGGTCTTCTGTATGTTTCGTGGCACCTGTACACCCATTCCCCAGGAAAAGCAGTCTACTTCGATGCTATGTATTTGTAATCTTTCCGGCATGAATTATCTCAGTATTTTTCCTAGAAAGTGCATTAGAAGAGTGCAATGATACCTAGTTCCTGACAGTGTCACAGTGACCCAGTCAGCTCACACCATCCTCAGTGAATATGGAAATCCTCCACACCCATTACCATGGGCTCTGCTCTTGCATCAGATGATTTACAGCAGGGCAAAGACGGAGTCCACTGGTTTGCTTTTAAAACTATGTTTTCATAGTTCATAGAAGTGCTAGAAACTTTTCTTTTTCTCCCGTTAAATGAAAATTTAAGTTCTGTACGTATTAGAAGGCCAGTCTGCTCCTCAGCTCACAATAAACCGGAGGTGAATTGGCAAGGTATTTTTCAAGCTCTGACAGAGGCATATGACAAAATAAATAGCAATGCTAACAATAGTAACGTATTAACAGTAGCAAAATAGCTGTTTACCACAGTCAGTTTTTGTTTGGAACTTACATCTTTAAAATGATAATTACTAACTAGTGCAAGCACTGTCATTTTTTCTACAGTTGCTCCTGCTGACTGATGCTGTCTTATTGTTTCCTAGTTTTCCCCCAGGTATCTGTATCTGCCTATTATCACTTGTATTTAGGCTGTAGGTGTTTTGGCTGGGGATCTTTTCGATCAATGCTAATGTAAAATTTAGATCACCTGAATCTTCATCTGTGGCTGTGACTGTTAGACACTTGGCTGACATAAGGCATAGTGAATGGTATTAAATCTGAATCTAAAAGCTAATTTGGTAAAATATTTGAAAAAAATTCTATTTCTCTATGCATTTTTGTAACACTGGTGATGCTTTTTGTTTTTAAAATAAGGGCTCCCAGGGCATGCTACCACTATTTAAGCAGAATAGCTGTAAGAGAACTTTCAATCCCCCATCTCTTTTCAGCATTCAGTGTGGATCCAGACTGACAAACCCAGGAGATGTGAGGCATCATTTTTAGGTACTCCTTTGTGTATTTTGAGGGCTCTTGTTTTGATGAAATGCTAAAAATATTAAGCCAGAGCAGTAGGTTAGAAATGAGATGATGGCTCAGAGACTTGACCAGCTTTCTCTTTTAAATCACAGTGGCACAAGAGCTCATTTGACAGAAACTTCTTTTCCAAATGGTGATGAGCTTAAAATACAGAATGTGTATTCTTTATATGTTTGGGACCTTCAAGAGACACATGACTTAAATTTAACTGAAGAAGACTTACTATCTATCTCTCTTCTAGTTAACAGTTCACATCCTGAGAAGCAAATTCATGTCATTCAGTTTTAATTCCCAAAATAACTTAAAAATTTCCTTCTGTCATGGAGAAGATGACAAACAGCAAAAGAGACAATAGGCGTCTCTGCTAAATCAGATTATCTGTTATTCAGTGCAAAAGTGAACTGACTGGAACCAGAATCTGGTTAAACAGATGATATGGTTGATGCCACTCATCATCAAGAACATAAAGTTTTGAAAACAGCTGACATAGCTGAATTTGACATGAGACATCTGTACCCTGCATTCTGCCTGTCTCTTCTTTTTATGTTGGCCTGGTGGAGACCACAGTGAATGCTTGGAAGAGGATGCATAGATCACATAACTGAAAGGTAAAGGTGAAAGATCATAGTGAAGTACTACCAAGAGTTGATAGCAGCATCTGCCAGACTGTTTCCCCCAGAAATCCTTGGAAGCATTTTGTTCATGTCCCACAAAAAATTCTCAAATAACTTTTCTTTTCTGTAAAGGGGAAATTACCACCACTGGTAAATTATGAGAAAATGGGATACTCAGTTAATTGTTTGAGCTCTTCTGTTCTTGACAAATGACCCCAGTGAGGCATTTCCTTAGGAAGCTCTGTCGCCGTTTTGGTAGAAATGGTAGCCATC